CTGCTATGACTTTTGGAATTGGTGCAACTTTACCTTCTTGAGATATTCAGCCTTTTCTGCTATTTTTTTCCACATTGAAAATGAACTGAGCTCATCCTTTATAACTTTTGATCTGTCTACAAACTTTTACTGCTAGTTTCACATTTTGTTCCGGTAAGTTTCTTTGAGTTTCCTTGTACAAAATTAAAAATAATAATAATAATCTGCTACTTTCAGCTAATTTCAGCTGTTTTTTCAACTGTTTTGTGCTCCTTTCAGCTTTGTTCAGCTAAGTCCAACATTTTTTGTGCTTCTTGTAACTTATTTCTGCTAATTCCAACTTGTTATGCTCTTTTCAGCTTATTTATGCTAAATTCAGCTATTTCTACTCTTTCAGCTACTATTTAGCTGTTTTACGCTAATTTCATCTTTTTCAGCAAGTTCCATATTTTTGCAATCATTTCAACTTTTTTCAGCCAAATTCAGCAAAATCATGCTCTACCCACTTCTTTCTTGTAATTTAAGCTTCTTTCTACTTGTTTTAGCTACTATTCATATTCAGCTGTTTTTGACAAATTTCGGCTCTTCTCAGATAATTTCAACTTTATTGTGCTAATTTCGGCCTCTTTCAACCTTAGTGGGCACAATTATTGTGCTCACTCCACTTCCTTTTGGTAATTTAAGCTGCTTTCCACATTCCTTTGGCTACTATTCAGCTGTTTGTGGCAAATTTCTGCTTTTTTTCGGATAATTTCAACTTTTTTATGCGCATTTCTGCTTCTTTCAGCCTTAGTGGGCACATTTCTGCTCACTCTACTTCCTTTTGGTAATTTAAGCATCGATATACCTTTTTATAGCTACTATTTAGCTGTTAAAATTAAATATCTAAGATGGCCACCTTACCTAAAACAGAAAAAATACAATAACTCTGCCATTTATAGAGCTATTAAGCTGAAATTTGGCACACTGGTAACTGAGAACGATCCCTAATAGACTCTGACTGAAAATCAAAAATCCAAGATGACCGCCTTAGAAAAAAAGGAAAAAAATAATAAATCAGCCAGTTTTGGTCATATTGAGCTGAAATTTGTTGCGATGATAGCCGACAATGTTCCCCATCAAATGCTGCATGAAATTAAAAAAATTCAAGATGGCCACCAACGCTACTTTTGAATGGATTTAACTGCCATTTTTACGCTTACAGAGCTGAAATTTGGTGAGGTTATAGCTGAGAACGTTCCCTATCACGTACTGAATCCAAATCAAAAATCCAAGATGGCCACTTTAGCCAAAAAGTTAAAAAAAAAATACGACAGCTCAGGCACTTTTAGAGCTATTCAGCAGAACTTTGGTATAGTGGTAGCTGAGAGTGAACCCAAACACATAGTACTGTCACATCAACAATTTAAATTGGCCGCAGCCTGGCAGTCCATTAGCGCAAACTTGTGCTCTTTCTGCTTCGTCCTGCTAATTTAAGCTTCTTTCTGCTATTGCAAGCTAATATTCAGCTGTTTTCTTCAAATCCTTCAGCAATAAGCTTTCATACTGCATTTTTGCAGGAAATTCAAACTCTCTAGTTTGAGTTTGTAGGTTGTTAGCCTGCTAGCCTGTTCAATAATCCAACATCCAGCCGCACTTAAGGACCGTTCTCTGAAATTGACCTGAAAAATGAACATTTTCCCACATTTGAGGCATGTTACTGAAGGGAAAACGTAAGGTGCAATTTTTCACCTTGTCAGATTATTTTTTTAACATGGAATACTAGCATTATTGTTTTAACATAAGATCATACAGGCTTTCATAGTTCAGGACATCCTTGTAAAAGAGATTCATAATCTCAATGGATTTCTTTCCTGGTAAAGTAAAGGTTTAAATAAAAAAAATAGTTCAAGATTTAGATTTCATAAGTGAGTTATAGACCAAATAAATCCCTCTGTACAAGAGACTGGTCTTTTCCCTTGCCCCAATAACTAAAAACTACCAATAAAGTCAAGTCAAATTTATTTATAAAGCACATTTAAAAACAGCAGCGGTTACCAAAGTGCTTAACAATAAAAATCAATGGCGGTAGTTTAATGAAAAAAATTACACAAAAAATCATTAAAAGCATCAAAGAAAAAAAAATACAAACACAAAATACTAAATCAAATCACATTGTGTTAAAAGTCAGAGAAAACAAGATTTTTTAAAACAGGAAGTGAAGTGGTCTGTCTAATGTTGGGGGGCGCGGGGGGGGGGGGGGGGGGGGCAGATTGTTCCAAAGTTTAAGGCCTGCGACTGAAAAAGTCTGATCTCCTCTGAGCTCTTCAGTCTGGTTTTTGGTACAACCAAAAGCAGCTGATCAGATGATCTCAGCACCCGAGAAGGAACACATGGTTGAAGTAGGTCAGTGAGATATGAGGGTGCAAGGCCATTTAGGCACTTAAAGGTCAGCAGGATAATTTTAAAATCTATTCTGATTGAAGGTTGAGGAGCATTAAGTGCAGAACATAGACTGCGGAACAGCTTCTACTCTGAAGCTGTTAGACTCATGAATCCCTAATCAGGATTATCATTGTGAAAACAAAAATAAATCACTGTAATGCCACTTTGATTGTTGATATGTGCTGCTGATTAGCCATGCTGCCGATCTCATGCTGCTGATTACTTCATGCTGCTGTATTATTCATACTCATCTACTCACACAATTTGTGCTGCTGTTGTTGGTTGTATTGTTTTGCACTTTTAATGTTTAGTGTATTCTTAGTTTAGTGTACCGTATTTTTTGGACTACAAGGCACACTTAAAATCTTTTGTTCTTCTCAAAAATCAACAGAGAGCCTTATAATCCAGTGCACCTTATGTTTTAATTCTGACCGTGCTTAATGACCTCGAACCAATTTTATGTGGTACATGACGCTCAAAAATCTGTCAAATGTTTTAGTTTCACTTAATCCGCCTTATAATCCGGTGTGCCTTATAGTCCGAAAAATACGGTATTTCTTAGTTTATATCTTAGATCCTTATTACTGTTTCTTTTTACAGTTTATATTTTTGCTATCATTGGATGTAACTGTGGCCCTGTGTACACGATTTTGTCCACCTCATGTACCACTCGTGATGTGAATGATAATATAACCTACTTGAACTTGATATGTACAGGGAGCCAGTGAAAGGAGGACAAAACTGGTGAAATATGCTCAAACCTCTAAGTTCCCATTAAGAGCCGAGCTGCAGCATTTTGAACAAGCTGGAGACGTGAAAGGGAGACCTGACTGACACCAACATAAAGTGTTACAGTAGTCTAGTTGGGTTGTAATGAAGGCATGGACTATGTTTTCAAGGTCAGATCTGGTCAACATGGACTTAAACTTAGCTATCTGACTTAACTGGAAGAAACTTTTATGTAGAGCACAGTTAATCTGCTTATTAAACTTAAAATCAGAGTCTAAAACCATTCTGAGATTCTTAACAGACTGCTTAAGAATGTCCATTGGACATGTCCTGTCCATCGAGGATGTTGAAGACGCATATGTAATTGGATTTATGATAACAAGTTTCCTGCTTTTTGGAATCGGCTGGTTCCTGGTTTATCAACAAACAAGGAAGTCATTGGCTGAAAATTTGGCCCTGGTCAGGCTGCCTGCTTTATGTGATGTTTGCTCCGTGCCTCGAGCACCCAGACTCAATTGCGAACTGAACGCTGGCAGAATGGATCGGATGTCGGGGATTACTCTCAGGCACGGACCAGCGGTGCGTCCATTTAATTTGGACATTTGGGACTCGTGAGGACCAGCAAAGACTCAAAGCGGACATAAATCAGTTAAGTTGTGTCTGCTCCCAAAACAAATGTTTATCTGAATTCGGCTCCCCGGCTGCCTTGACAGGCCACCTTATCTCAATTTGCCTGGAGGCTCTGTAAATTTGATGCTCTGCCCCCTCCCCTCCCACCAAGGAAGTCTGCGGACCTATCAGAGGGACCTAGTTGAATAAACATTGTGTCATCATTTCAGGATTCTTGGATTCTCTCTGGCGCCCTGGGTTGACCTCAGCACCCTTTGAGAGTGTTTACAGATCTCACCAGAGGGAAATGATTGATTATACCATTCTTATCAGAACTCCTACAGTACCTCTGGAGTGTCCTTGGACACGCTCACCGCTCTTGTCGTCTCCCCTCCCCTGTGGAATGTCTGTGTCACTACGTGCCTATGTATCCCTGCTCGGCCAGGGAGTGAGAGTTTGATAGTATTTTTTTGCCTCCAAATCCTAAACATGTGTCACTTTCATTACTTTTTGTCCATATAAACAGGTCTCACTTATAAATGAGTCTTTGAGGCTCAATGTGATTTATCTGTGTAAATAAAGGTTGAATGAATGAATAAGATATGGCTCAAGAGAGTGCAGGTTTACAGGAACAGAGTCAGCAGTAGAGCTAGGACTAAAC